GGTAACATAGATGTGAGTTCCTGCATCTTCATGTATTTTAATGGGTTATTAAACATCTACGTGCTTCAAAATATATATACATATGTATTTAAAATTTTGTGGACCCCTAAGCACGGGCTCACTGACCCCCGGGGGTCTGGGGACCCCACTTTTAGAGCCACTGTTCTCTATTACCCAGCATGCTCTTCTTCCTCTGTCTCCATCATGGCCGCCCCCTCAGATCCTTCATGTGGTCTCTGATCAGATCTTTGATGTTCAGGAGGATTCGGTCAGAGGGTCGTCAGGAAACAGGAAGAGGACTGAACCTGGAGTGTCAAAATAAAGCTCAAAGATACTCTTCAAAATAAGAGTCTGCTCTGTCACAGCTCAGAGGTAGTCCTGAGTTCCTGCTGGGTTCTCCAGAAGCACAATGAAGATGTTCTCCTCAGTTTAACTCTGATGTTTGATCACTTTGGTTCCTGAAGCAGCTGAGGACGGCCTTCCTCCTCCTCCTGCTCCTCCTCCTCCCTGAACGGACGATGACATGTCTTGACGTTGTGTAAGGAGCTCCTGGGAGTGAAATTGGGTCACAGACTTGGTTTCCACGGTAACCCGTCTTTTTCTAAGACACACTGGGTTCAGGTTCTGCAGCGACTTGTTCCTCATGTTCTCCACCTGGTTCCAGGTGTTCAGGACCTGAACACGCTCCAGGACCACCAGAGTCTGAACCACAGATCCCCTCTTCATGTCTGTAGAAGTCCTGATCCAGGTCCTGATCCAGGTCCTGATCCAAAGTCCTCCTCCTGCTCTGCATGTAGAATATTAATGAGGTGATATTAATTATTAAACGAGCTGTTTGCCTCGTTAACGCCTCGAGCTGTGATTAGAGGAGAGAGCTGCATTTTCAAACTAAAAAACTTGATTCATTCATGTAAAGTCAACAACAATAAAAATCAACAACAATAAAAATCAACAACAATAAAAATCAACAACATTATTTTATGTTCAACAAGAAAGTACGTTTTGAAAAAGATGGCTGACTTTGGACTAAAGTCTGCTAACGAGCCGAAGGACTCTGACAGGCTCTGCTTTCCTATCAAAGCTCTAGATGTTTCCTGTAGATGTTAGCTCCAGATGTTAGCTCCAGATGTTAGTTCCAGATGTTAGCTCCAGATGTTAGCTCCAGATGTTAGCTCCAGATGTTATTTCCAGATGTTAGCTCCAGATGGTTCCTCAAACCTGTTGAAAGCTTCATGTGACTCTCAAACCTTTTTTCTGTCTTCAGATCTGCATCCGGCTGTCCTTCTTCACCCTCTCTGTGAGTTTGCAGTGCATCATGGGACTTACAGTCCTCCCCATGCTCGTCCTGTTCTTGATGACATCATCATTATGTGGTGGGGTGGGCGTGACCAGCCCTGGTAAGCCACGCCTCTGTTTTGTCCCAGGTAATGGTGAGTTGGAGCTGATGTTTTGATGTGACCTGCAGGGGGCGCCATCTCCTGTCCCCTGCAGTGTGTGTGTGAGACCCGACCGTGGTACACGCCGCAGTCCGTGTACCACCAGGCCAGGACCGTGGACTGCAACGAGCTCCACCTACAGAGAGTTCCAGCCAACGTCTCTGTGGACACGCAGGTACTCCGAGTGTCTGAGTGGAGGACATGCTGGACATGAACACAGTCAACAACGTGTCCTTGTAAATGTCCTCAGGTCCTGCTGCTGCAGAGCAACAACATCTCCTCCATCACCTCCGAACTGCAGAACCTGAGGAACCTGACTGAGCTGGACCTGTCCCAGAACCACCTGACACAGGTACGTACCTCGTCCGCTGTACTCCGCTGTTCTCTTCACCTGGTGTCCATGCTGAGCTTCACAGTGATGTCTCTGTCCAGGTGAGCTCCCTGGGTCTGTCCTCTCTGGGACACCTGGTGACTCTGTACCTGGAGGAGAACCACATAGAGGAGCTGGAGGACTACGGTCTGCGGAACCTGTCCAGCCTGGAAGAACTTTACATCAACCACAACCAGATCTCCTCTATTGGACCCAAAGCCTTTGCTGGTCTCACTAACCTCCTCCGGTAATCTGAAGCTTTGGACCAGAACTTCCTGCTGGAATCAGGTCCAGCAGATCAGAGACCTCCTCTAAATTCTGTAGATCCAGAACCATACAAAAACTGGTTTCATGAATAAACACACAGGTGGAACCATAGACCTCATCAGATGACAGACGTTCTAAAAGGCTCAGAGGAACCTTCTGCAGGAGGGTTAGAACCCCACAGAACATTCCTCCAGTTCGGGCTCTTGGAGTGACGAGGAGATCTCCTTCTTTAAAATCTGCTTTTAGCAGTTAGCTACTCTTTAGCTACTTTTAGTTCTTAGCTACTGTTAAGCAATTTTTAGTTGTTTGCTACTGTTTAGCTACTTTTATCTGTTAGCTACTTTTAGCTGTTATTTGCAGTTTAGCTACTTTTAGCTCTTAGTTGATATTTATCTACTTTTAGCTGTTAGCTACTATTTAGCTACTTTTAGTTGCTAGCTACTATTTAGCTACTTTTAGCTGATAATTACTTTTTAGCTACTTTTAGCTGTTAGTTACAGTTTAGCTACTTTTAGCTCTTAGCTACTATTCAGCTACTTTTAGCTGATAGCTACCATTTAGCTACTTTTAGCTATTAATGTTTAGTGAATTTTAGCTGTTTGCTAGT